GCCCCCCCCCCCGCCCCCGCCCGATTCCCGTTCTGGGCCGCCCTGCACATGAAAGGCTTCCTGTCCCCCTTTTCTCGTGTTCCCCGCGGCCAACAAGCCTTTTCTCTCTGATGGAGCCCTGTGGAAAGGACCAGCTCTGAACATGTTGGTTCCTGGGGCAGAACATTTGAGGGATGGTCTCCCCACTTTCATCTAATTAAACTCAGCTGCAGTCTAGCAGGAGATTTTCCTGTGCCGGAAACCTCACCAAAGCAAGACTTCGGCTTGGATTTAGGTTTGTCCAGGCCCCAAGCCTTGGACAGATTCAGGCGCTTCTGAAGTCTGTGCACTCCCCAAGCTTAGAATACTGCAACAGATTAACCAATTGTGCTGACGAAAAAGAGGTATCTAAGACTCAGAATAGAATGCAAGCCTCTTTCATGGCTATTGATGAGATGCTTAAGTTTGGGTTGGCACGTTTGTGGCTAAAATTCAAGGTTTGCCTAAAAGATAGCGGCATGGGCACCTATGTCCCTGCCGTATCCCAAATCCACACACACTTTTCCAAATGAGCAGTTCTACAAAGAGCCATGTATTCGAGAAGCCAGATTTGATCTCTTGAAAGCAGGGGTAACAAATACTCCGCTAGCATTCTGCTTGTTGTTGGAGTCCTTCTCAGATTGGGCCCCATGATGCAATCAGCAAATGCTTCTGCAAATTCTAACTGGTATGTCAGTGCTGTTATCTGCCTTCCAGTCACCAGCATGTTCCATTTTAATATGCATAAGTATTTTAACATTATCTCTTGTTAATGGAGTAACTGTTTTACATGAGCATCTTCTGAACTTGTATAAGCCTGCATTTCTTCTTGAACCCGTGATCATGCAAGTGGAAGAGGTACTTTCTGACAGTTTAGGCAGGCATAGCAAGGTAAGAGGTTCCAGCTGACAGCTGGTCCCAACTAACTTCAGCTGTGCCGGAATCACCGGAGAACCCGCCACTTTTCACCAAGGAGATAACCTTGCAATAAACCTTACAGGGCAATCACTTTTCCCTCCCGGATGAAGGGAGGCACCAGCAGCAGCTTTTCTCACCTCAGCCCTATTTGCACGATAGCAACTACCTTTCTCTGCGTCCCTGAAGGCTGCCATGTTGGAAGCTGAGGGCTCAAAGTGAATATGCCGTTGACAGCTTTGGAACTGCAGGGCTGCCCTCAGCCAGTGGCCGGGCGGGTGTGTGTGTGTGTGTGTGTGTGTGTGTGTGTGTGTGTTGAGGAGTCACATCCTGCCTTTCTTGAGATAAACACCTCCTGAGAACCACAACTGTGGTGAGTTGTGGAGAGCTGGCTTCTTTCCTCCCCGCCAGAAAGCTCCCTCGTCCTCATGTGCTAATTGCCCTGGGACCACAGGGCCGCTGCAAGTGGCCGCAGGCCAAAAGGCTGCTGCTGCTGTGGGGTGGGCAGGTAGGGTGGCGGACAGGTGCAGGAGAAGCGGCACACGGAATCCCGCTGGGCTCTCAGGCAGCAGGCGCAACGACAAGGGTCTCCGGTTGGGAGGAGAAGTGGTGCAGTCCGAGTTTTGCCCAACTTTCACTCTCCCCAGTGGGGAAGAAAACTGTGAGCAATGAGAGGAGTTTTCCCCCCACCTTAGCACCGTGCAGGGAAAACCTGCATCCAGGGAAAAGGTATTCATCAAGATTTAGCCACCCGACAGAATCAGCAGCATCTGCACAAACCAGGGCCTCCTGGTTCCATGCCGGCAACACTCTCAAAATCTGCGGAGCATCCTGTGAGGTCCAAGTCTCTAGCCCAGCTGTTTTTGTGGCATTTGGCAGCTGTGAGGTGGAAATAAAGGGTCCTTCCCTGCAGCTGATCAGCGGGTGCTCTTTGAATTGTGAGGAGCGCCCTGCAGAATTTCTCCCCACACCCTTTTCGGGCTTTCATTTTTGAAAACAAGTTGCCGCTGTCCCCCGCCATGCAACGGTGTTCCTGGGGGTAGTGCCAGGATCAGGGCTGGAGTAACTGCATGTGCTCGCAGAAGCAGGAGCGCCTTTGCCTGCACTTGCAAGGGGCCCCTGCGGAGCAATTACGCCGTGCAGCCAGGGACCCTGGAGGCCAGCAGAAAAGGCTTCCCTGCCACAGCAGGGCACGTGTCCAGGTGACTTTCTGTTCTCTGGCCCTTGCTTCAGTAGGCCCTGCGCCAGTTCGTTCCGGCCTCACTCCAGCCAGCATCCTTCTGCTCTTCCCGTCTTTCCTCCGAGTAGACCCAGCCTCGCTCCAGCCTGCTACAACCCTCGCATCAACATCTCTCCAGTGGACCGACTTTGGGACTGTGCTCTGCCTGCCTCTCTCTCCGAGCGAGCGAGCGTGCCAGGCTCGGGCTGCTTCCATCCGCGCCTTCGGCCTGGACCTGCTGACTCGTCCCAGGCTTCTGCCCAGTGGTGAGCTCCGGACCCAGCTGGAGCTCGTGCCCTGGACGCGGCGTTCTGCGCCTCCTTGCTGCCTCACAGATGGAAGCATTCTGGGCCATGGGAAAGAAAGATGGCTGTCCTTGCATGCGCCACCATTCTATGCCCCAGGAATTGTGCTGGATATCTCTGGTCAGTAGCAAAGCAGTTTTGGAAAGAAAAGAGTAAAAAAAAAAAAAGATCAACTTCAGCACTGCCAAAAAAGAGGAAAGTGCACCTCGTGTCCCTCCGAAAGCGATTTTTGCTCTTTCCTGGAAATTATTGGAACTGCTCCTCTGCCATTTTCAAAGGTGATCAGTAACATGGAAGGGGAAGGGGTGGTCTGGCTCTTCTTGCGTCCTTCTCCTGGTGAAAGCCTGTGCCAGGCTGCCAAAGTCGTTCCAAAAGACAAACTGCCTTCCAAATGAGTCTGGAAAAAGGTCTGAGCCATTTGTCTTTGGCAGAGTTTGAAACGTGCTTTCGGCAAAGACTCGACCTGTGCATGGGAAACGCATCCCTGTTTCCGAGACTCTGTGATGGTGGAAGCAGGGGAGAGGGCTGGCATATTCCACGGCAACATCCTGTCGAGCTGGGATTTCTTGGCGCTTTGGTGCTCTTGGTAGCTCTGTATTTGCCATGCAAATCTGCACACAATTATTCTCTTGATTCCATAGTGAGAAAGAGTTGAGCGGACTTTCCACCCAGTTGAAAAGCGGCTCTCCTTTGAGTGCTTCCCCATTCTTCTGCCACACCATGGATCACTCTGGTCGCTTCAATCATATGCAAAAACAAAGACACTCTGTATGCTTCTTGGGCTAAACAATGCTCCTGTTTAATCAGCTTTCCCCAAGCACCAAGCAAGGATGTGGGTTTTAACCTGTCAAGCGCTACAAGTTTAGGCTGATCAAAAGCCCTTCGAAAACAAAGGACTGGAACTAACTCGAGAGACGTTTGTTGTTGTTCACTTGGTGTACGCATGTGAGAGATGCATACTGTATAATGCTCATCTTTGCTCACAGCCACATCAGTTGCAGTCCCCAAGGAATTCCCCGTCTCCTCCTGGGTGATCCTCCCCTTCCCTCCATCCCTCCCTCCCTCCATCACAAGATGCTGCTGATCGAAACTGAACCTTTGCTAGTAAAGACGCGCCTGAGGAACATGAATGGCAACCTCGTGATCCTTGGTGCCCAGTGCCTCACTCGGGAACTGGAAGCCAGAGGCGAGGCAGAGCGAGGCGGGGCCTGGCCAGCCTGTTCTGCGAAGCAGCTCCGTGCCACTGGAGTGGGCTGGGGACCGAACGACAGCCTGGCTTGCTTCTGCAGAGCGTTAAGAGATGTGAGACAGACCCAGCCCAGGTAGCATGCTCTGCATAACATGCCGTGCACCAGCCACTTGTATGCAGAGAGGTAAGCCCAAGAGGGCAGGTGTGTCTGCTCGCGTGTGTTTGCCCGCGAGGTATCCCAGGTCTGTGCACCGAGTGATCAGGCGGCCAGGCCTCCGCAGGGGGACACAGACCTCCAGCTCCTCAGGTGCCGTTCCTTCTCCCCAGCTCACACCAGACTGCTCTTTGTGGGCAGTGACTGCCTGATGAATACGTATCAGCAGCATCCCTTCCTAGCAGGCCACCGCTTCCTCCACAGCAGCTCGTAGCTCCCGTTTCCTTCCTGTGTGCCCCTGCACACTGTCCCACTGTGCTTCCACGTCTTCTCCTCGGGCTTCCCAGATCCTTCCCCTTAGCACAGAGCACTCCAGGCAGTCTGGAAAAGTGGGGAGGTCACTTTTATGCAGCTGCCGAGTCCCCTTCCTCCTTGCTTGGCTCACTTCTCTCCCCTTTTCTGTGCCGGCTTCAGAGATTGCCTGTAGTGGAGAAGGGAAACATCCCTGCCACCTTGGGGCCAAGGCATCGAAAGGAAAAGACAAAGCTGGTTGCTTCTGCAGCCTCCCAGGCCAGCCATGGACTGTGACTGCGGCAGGGCTTGGCTGCTTGCCAGGAAACGCTTCTGCTCCACGCTTTCTGCTGGGCCTGCCAAGTGATGCCCCTGTGGGCATTTGCTCCTCAGCAGCCAGCCTGCCCAGCCTCCTCCTCACACCTTTGAAAAACGATTGCAATGATTATAATCTTCAGTTCGTCATGAATAAAACACCTATGCAGTAGAATGGCAATTGAACAAGCTCATCAAATATGTGTGTATTTACCTAAGTGCTGAGACATGGCCCATGTTCATTCTCATTCAGGTGTTAAGTCAGCAGTAAAGCCCAGAAGAAGAAAACATTAAGGCCAATCAAAATCATCAAAATCGAAATGATCAAAATCAACCACCTTCTGAATCCATCCATGTGCCTGAACATTCGGCTGAGAAACTTTAAAGCACCGTCCATCTTCTGGTTATGCTGAACCCTTTTCCAAGCCCTGCTCCCCAACTGCTTCCCCATTTTCTTGTAATGGGTAAGCTGTCATGCCACAAGCTACATGG